AAAAAAAAAAAAAAAAAGAGAAAAAACTAAAAACAAGAAACAACAAATACACATATCGATATATGTATGTATGTATATGGTATATATACAACAATGGAATATTTTATTAGGCCATAAAAATGAAAATCCTATCATCTGCAACAACCAACATGAGTGAATGTGGAGGACCTGATGCTACATGAAATAGGCCAGACACAGCAAAGCAAATACTGTATTTCATTTCTACGTGGAATCTAAAAAAGTAGAACTCATTGAAACACAGGTGGTTTCCAGGGACTGCAGAGTAGAAGAAATGGGGAGATGTTGGTGAAAGGGTACAAACTTTCAGTTATAAGATGAGTAAATTCTGGGGATCTAATCTACAGCAATAGTGACTATTGTTAATAAAGAGTATTAAGCATCTTCCCTACACACACAAAATGGTAACTGTGTGGTGAAAGACATGTTAACTTGATTGTGTTAATCAATTTACAATGTATACGTTTATCACATCACATTATATGCCGTGAATATATACACATTTTGTCAATTATACCTCAACATGGCTAGAGAAAATGGATCAAAATTTATAAAGGATAAGAGAAAAATCATGAGTTTCATAGAATAAATGAAATCTAAATCTCTTTTTCCCTGGTCAAGTATGAATTATTCCTGTTTTTGCTGTTCTAATCAATAACCTAAGAAACATTGAATCTCAAGATTCCTGGCGGGGCACGGTGGTTCACTCCTGTAATCCCAGCACTTTGGGAGGCTGAGGCAGGTGGGTCACCTGAGGTCAGGAGTTCAAGACGAGCCTGGCCAACATGGTGAAACCCCATCTCTACTAAAAATACAAAATTAGCCAGGCATGGTGGTGCATGCCTGTAGTCCCAGCTACTCAGGAGGCTAAGGCAGGAGAATCACTTGAGCCTGGGAGGCAGAGGTTGCAGGGAGCCGAGTCACACCACTGCACTCCGCTTGGGCGACAGAGCAAAACTCCGTCTCCCAAAAAGATTCCCCAGCACCACTGTCTAGGCTAGATAAATTTCCCACAGGACAAAACCACTGATCTTAAGGGTTTGTTCTGAAAATGACAGTACTAGTTACTACTGGTAGATGCAGGCAGGCATAGTTCAAAATCCACTTGCATGGGTCAGTTCACATGGCTTCAGAGCAAAATTCTATCTTAAAGAGGACTGTTACAATGTGGTTCCAACCTGTGAAATGTTCAGTAAACTCCTGTTCCAGTTTCATGGCTCTCTCAAACGTTTTTCTGGCTTGTTCTTCTGTTAGACGCTTATTCATTTCCCTATGCAAATAAATACAGAAATTAATAATTACCACATTGTAATACTTTTTAAAAAAAGATGACAAAGGAGAGAAGATATAAAATAGAAAATCATGAAAAGTTGAACTCTGTTGAAAATATGAATGTCATTAAAAACTGGAGTCATTCTGGCCATTTCTGGGATTTTATTTTTTTTGAGACAGGGTCTCACTCTGTCACCCAGGCTGGAGTGCAGTGGCATGATCTCGGCTCACTGCAACCTCTGCCTCCTGGGTTTAAGCGATTCTCCTGCCTCCATCTCTCAAGTAGCTGGATCACAGGCATGCGCCACTACGCCCGGCTAATTTTTATATTTTTAGTAGAGATGGGGTTTCATAGTTGGGCAGGCTAGTCCCAAACTCCTGACCTCAGGTGATCGGCTAACCTCAGTCTCCCAAAGTGCTGGGATTACAGGTGTGAGCCACTGAGCCCAGCCTGTTTCTGGGATTTTTAAAAAATATTTTTAAAAATATTTTTAAAAATAAAAATAATAGACTGGGCATGGTGGCTTACACCAGTAATCCTAGCACTTTGGGAGGCCGAGGCAGGTGGATCACCTGAGGTCAGGAGTTCAGGACCAGCCTGGCCAACAAGATGAAACCTTGTCTCTACCAAAAATATAAAAATTAGGCGGGAGTGGTCGCGCATGCTTGTAGTCCCAGCTACTCGGGAGGCTGAGGCAGGAGAATCGCTTGAACCCGGGAGGCAGAGGTTGCAGTGAGCTGAGATCATGACACTGCATGCTTGTAGTCCCAGCTACTCGGGAGGCTGAGGCAGGAGAATCGCTTGAACCCGGGAGGCAGAGGTTGCAGTGAGCTGAGATCATGCCACTGCATTCCAGCCTGGGTGACGGAGACTCTGTCTCAACAACAACAACAAAATAAATAAATAAATAAATGAAAATAAAAACAATAAAAACTAGATTTAGTTACTGAATATGTTGCTATATACTTGGAATCACAGAGGGTTTTTAACAAATTCTGCATCAGCTCAGTGTAGCCAAAACACCTATTCATTAATTTATGACACTTTTGACTTTGATGAAAATTTCATATTAAAATGACTTAGAGATCTACGTATCAGTTTACAGAAAATAAGGGGACAAACATCCATATAAATAACCCCATGAGAAGGTAATCAGAAAATACAGTGTGGGGAAATCTCTGCACAAGAAATGACCTGCGTTCTATCACAAATAAATGGGAGGTGGTGCGGGGGTGGGGTGGGGCATAAAAGAGAGATGTGGAGAGAGAATATATAGGTTAAACAACTTAACCAACTGCCACGAATAGATGTTATTTAAAATTTTATTCCAACAAACTGAAGAAATACAAATACACAGTGATTTACACAGACAAAATGATAGAAATGTCTGAGACTTGTTTCAAAATAATCTGGAATGAAGGTGTAAGGAGGTAGGTGTGAGTGGAGAGAAACAAGATTGGTCATAAGTGGATAATTATGGCTGCAGCTGGATGATGAGTATATGAGAGTTCATTCCCAACTTAAAGGAAAGCCTTCAATATTTTGCCATTAATTATGATGTTTGCTTTGGTATTTTGTAGAGTTACTGTCTAGTATTCTTTCATCCCACCCTAAAAAATTATCTTCAGCATTTCTTGTAAGGTAGAACTACAGGTAATGAACTCTTTCAGTTTTTATCTGGGTGAGTGTTAATTTCTCCCTCATTTTTGAAGAATAGTTTTGCCAGATACAGGATTCCTTGTTGACAGTTAAATTTTTTTTTTTTCTTCAGTGTTTTGAACCCACTGTTTTCTGGCCTCCAAAGTTTTGGATAAAATATCTGCTGGCAGGGCATGGTGGCTCATGCCTGTAATCCCAGCACTTTGGGAGGCTGAGGCAGGTGGATCACCTGACGTCAGGAGTTTGGGACCAGCCTGGCCAACATGGTGAAACCCCGTCACTACTAAAAATACAAAAATTAGCAGGACTCAGTGGTGGGTGCCTGTAATCCCAGCTACTAAGGAGGCTGAGGCAGGAGAATCACTTGAACCCAGGAGGCAGAGGTTGCAGTAAGCTGAGACTGTGCCACTGTACTCCAACCTGGGAGACAGAGTAGACCCTGTCTCCAAAAAAAAAAAAAAAAAAAATCTGCTGATGGCTGGGCCTGGTGGATATTTACTTACACCTGTAATCCCAGCACTTTGGAAGGCTGAGGTGGGTGGATCACTTGCGCTCAGGAGTTTGAGACCAGCCTGGGAAACATGGCAAAACCCTGTCTCCATAAAAAATACAAAAATTAGCCAGGCGTGGTGGTGCACGTCTGCAGCCCCAGCTACTAGGGAGGCTGAGGTGAGCGGCTGCCTGAGCCCAGGAAGTTAAGGCAGCAGTAACCTGTGTAAGCAGTAAGCCACTGCACTCCAGCCTGGGTGACAAACAGAGACCTTGTCTCAAAAAACAAACAAAAACATCGACTGATAATCTTATTGGGAAATCCCCTGTGTGTGGTAAGTTGCTGCTTTCAAGATTCTCTCCATATTCTGACAGTTTGATTATAATGTGCCTCCGTGTGGGTATCTAAGTTTATCCTGCTTTGAGTTCCTTGATTTTCTTGGATTATATTCGTGTCTTTCATCAAACGTGGGATGTTTTTGGCCATTATTTCTTCAATCTCTCTGCCCTTCCCCTCTCTGTTCTCCTCCAGGACCCCCACAATGTGAGTTGACTGCTTGATGGTGTCTTATAGGCCCTTTTCTTCAATCATTTCTCTGTTTCTCAGACTAAATAATTTCCATTGTTGTATCTTCAAGTTAAATTTGTTGACTCTCTCTTCTGTCTGCTCAAATCTCCCTGAATCCCTGTAGTGAATTTTCCATTTCAGTTATTTTTAGTTCCAGAATTTCCTTTTGGTTTCTTTTTACGTTTTTTATTTCTTTGTTGATATTTCCATTTTGTTCACGTATCTTTTTCATCTTTTTTTCCTTTGTCTTTTTGGAGACAAGGTCTCCCTCTGTTGCTCAGGCTGGAGTGCAGTGGCATGATCTTGGCTCACTGCAGCCTTGACCTCCCAGGCTCAAGAGATCCTCCCACCTCAGCTTCGCATGCAGCTGGGACCAGAGGCTCGTGCCACCATGGCCAGCTAATTTTTGTTTATTTTTATTTTTCTGAGACGGAGTTTTGCTCTTGTTGCCCAGGCTGGGGTGCAATGGTGTGGTCTCCACTCACTGCAACCTCCGCCTCCTGGGTTCAAGCAAGTCTTGCGCCTCAGCCTCCCAAGTAGCTGGGATTACAGATGCCTACCACCACGCCCAGCTAATTTCTGTATTTTTAGTAGAGATGGGGTTTCACTATGTTGCCCACGCTGGTCTCAAACTCCTGAGCTCAGGTGTTCTGCCTGCCTCGGCCTCCCAAAGTGCTGGGGTTACAGGCATGAGCCACCGCGCCCGGCCAATTTTTGCTGACTTCTTGTAGAGGCAAGGTCTCACTATGTTGCCCAGGCTAGTCTCGAACCACTGAGTTCAGGTGGTTTGTCTCAGCCTTCTAAGTGCTAGAATCACAGGCATGAGCCACTGCGCTGGGCCTATCATTTTCTTAAGACTTTGTCCATGTCTTTTAGCTCATTTAGCATCTTGTTTTACAGTCTAAGTCTAACTCTTTCTCAAGGATAGTCTTCTGCAGGGATAGTTTATTTTTCCTTTGAATGGGCTATATTTTCCTGTTTCTTTGTATGTCTTGTGATTTTTTGTTGGAAACTGCACATTTAACTCTTACAATGTGGTAATTCTGGAGATCACATTCTTTTCCTTTCCTAGGGTTTGCTGTTTTATTTAAAATTTAATTTTATTGTTTACTGTTGCAAGGTGTTTCTGTACCAGGAATCAGCCAGTCTTTTCAGGTATTTTCTAAGTGATTTTCCATGGATATGAAAATCTCCCCTCACATACATGGTTACTTTTGAATGTCCAGGTCTGGCCCCCAAAACGGGGGCAAGAAAAAAGGTGTGTGTGTGCGTGTGCGTGCGTGTGGTGCGGGTGGAAGGGGGAGGCACTAGCCCTTTGTTTTCATTTGATTTTGTTTTTCTTTCTCCTCACTAATTACCACTGAAGGCAATGGCCCTTTAAATCTTTAAAAGTCACTTCAGCCTCCAGTGCTTCCAGGCTTGTAACAGTGGCAGTGGGGTCTGCAACAATGGCTCACTTTATGGCTGTATGGCCGCACCTCCATGATCAGAAGCAGTAATTAGCTATCACAGCAAAGATCCCTGCTATTTGGAGGACAGAATCCTTATTGTCCACACTGGCCCCCACAAACCCTATGCAAAGCCGCTTGAAAATGTGTGCATGGCTACATGCTATGGGGCTGAGGGTAGAGGAACAGGTAGTTGCTACCATGTTAAGAGCTGAAATTAACCTTTCAAACCTTTCCCTGGAAGTTATGAGCCTTCAACAGACTTCAGAGTTCCAAACCGGTAAAAATGGTGAACAGAGTTTCCAAAACAGTGACATCAGACAGATTCTGCCAGTGCAGTTGTTGTCTGGGTGGGGAGACAGATTCTCAGAGCTTCCTACTCTTCCATCTTCCCTCTAGCTCCATAATTGATTAGTTTTTAAATGTTAAAGCAGTGTTGCATACCAGGAACATACCCAACTTGGTTGTTATATTTTGCCTTATTAAAAAAATTGTTTGATTCAATTTGCTCCTATTTTGGTAAGGGTTCTTGCATCTATAGTCATAATTAAGACTGGTTTTATCATTTTCCTTTCCTATATAGTCCTTTCCAGCTTTGGGTATCAAATTAATGCTCATAAATTAGTTGAAGAGTTTGTATACAATTGACATAGCTTCTTAGCTTTCGGTAGAATTTAGTAAGTCCTCTAGGCTTAGTATTTAATTTGTGGAAAGGTTTTTTATGATTGGTTCAATTCTTTAATAAGTACTAGATTATTTAGGTTTTCTATTTCTCTTTTCCCTTTCTATTTTTTCCTTAACATTTTCTGAAGTATATGTTTCAAACACAGATGAGCAGTTATCAGAAAAATCGTATCATTCAGCTTGTTACATTTTCACAAATTTACATGTACCTGTGTACTTAGGTCAAGACACAGAACATCACTAGTACCCCAGAATCGGGGTGTGCTCACTCTAGTCACCAGCCCCTTCTCACAGGGTAACCTCTGTTTGACTTCTACAAGCAATTATTAAATTTGGAATCATAGAGTATGTATATCTTTAGGTCGAAGTTTTTGTTTTTAACTCAAATCGTACTTGTGAGATTCTTCCATACTTTTGTATGTGGCGGGAGATTGCTCACTCTCACTCATTATCATACAATGTTTCATTGTGAATATGTCATAATTTATTTACATATTCTACTGCTGACAGTATTTGACTCTTTGTTTTTTTTTTTTTTTTTAAAGACAGGGTCTCACTCTGTCACCAAGGCTGGAGTGCAGTGGTGCAAGCATAGCTCACTACAGCCTCAATCGAACTCCTGGGCTCAAGGGATCCTCCTGCTTCAGCCTCCTGAGTAGCTGGGATTATAGGAATGCACCATCACATCCAGCTACCTTTAAAGTTTTTTGTAGAGACAGGGTCGTGCTATGTTGCTCAGGCTGGTCTCCAACTTCTGACCTCAAGGAATCCTTCTGTCTTGGGCTCCCAAAGTGTTGGGATTACAGGTGTGAGCTACTGCACCTGACAGCTGCTGACTACTTGAACAGTACTGTCATCACTCTTGTACATGTCTTTGTAAACACATGTAAGCATTTCTGTTGAGTGTGTATCTAAGAATATGACTTCTGGGTCATAACTAATGTGTATGTTCAGCTTTAGGAGACATTATGATACTATAAACAGTTTACCAATGAAGATACACCAATTTGCACCCCTAACACTGTTATGAGTTTCAGTTGCTTCACATCCTTGCCGGCATTAAATATTTTCTGTCTTTTTCATTTTAACTATTCTGGTATGTGGGTGGTAGTATAAGACATCAGGGTTTAACTTGTATTTCCATAATTAATTGGGCACTATCTCACATGCTTATTATTTGGAGGTTCTCTTTTGCGATGTGTCCAAGCCCTTTGTCCTTTTTCCTGGTAGGCTGCCTCTGTCAATCTCTGATGTCTGCTGCATGTGGAGTCATATCCTCTTTTTCATGCCTGATATTCATATTGATGTGCCTTCTTTCTTTTCTTGATCACTCCTAGTGGTTTACTGTCTTTTCAAAGAGAACACTTTTGGCTTTGTTGATCCTCTTTTACGTTTGTTTTCTATTTCATTAATTTCTGCTCTGCCGTATTTTTTATTTTTAAATTTTTTTAATACTGTTTTCTTCTTTTTTTGACTTGGGACAGGGTCTTGCTCTGTCACCAGGCTGGAGTGCGATGGCATGATCTTGGCTCGCTGCAACCTCCACTCTCTGTGCTCAAGCAATCCCCCCATCTCAGCCTCCCAAGTAGCTGGGACGACAGGCGCACACCACCATGCCTGGCTATTTTTCTGTATTTTTAGCAGAGACAGAGTCTCACCATGTTGCCCAGGCTGGTCTTGAACTCCTGAACTCAAGCAATCCGCCCACCTAGGCCTCCTGAAGTATTGGGATTATAGGGGCTGGCCACTGTGCCCCACCTTCTATAATTTTGAGTTTGACTGATATTTTTTCAATTTCTCAAAATCTTAGATTTTCAACTTTCCTAATATTTGATTTTCAACATTCTTTCCTAACATTTAAAGCTGTGTGTATTCCTTCAACAAAGCTATGAAAGCCTCCAAACTCATTACTTGGCAATTCATTACTATTTAGTTCAAAACATTAATTTATTCTGTGATTTCTTCTTTGACTCACTCAGAAGTATAATGCTTAATTTCCAAATATATGAGAATTTTCTAGTTATCTTTTAGTTATTGGTTTCCATTTAAATTGCATTATAGTCAGAAAGTATTTGTTTTCTATCATTTGAAATTTGTAATCCAGCAAATGATGAGTTTTGGTAATTGTTTCATGTACACTGGAAATCCATGTGCATTCTGCAGATGGTGAGTGCAGTGTTTAACATATGTCCAGTAGGTAAAGTTTTTAATTTGTGTTATTCTGTGCCTTCACTGATTTTTTATATTTGTTTTCTTATTTAATTGCTTCCTCACAGGTATGTTAGGTTCCTTCTCGATGATTTTGGAATTACCTTTTTGCCCCTATGAAGCTGTCAATTTGTACTTTTTATGTTTTGAGAATGCTATTAAGTGCAAACAAATGTATGAACAGATCCTCCTGCTGGAGTGAATCTTTTACTTTTATGAAATGTCACTCTTAAGGCCAGTAGTACTTCTTGCCTTAAAGTATACTTCGTCAGCAATATAAAAATCGGCCTAGTTTAGCATGGTATAGCTTTTTCTATTCTCTTACTTTCAACCTTCCCATAGCCTAATTTTTAAGGTGTGTCTGATGAAAGCAACATATAATTTACTTTTTTCTTCACCCATTCTGACAATCCTTGTCTTTTAATTGGAACATTTAGTCCAGTAGTCTAATATTTGCCTTAGTTTATACCATCTTACTATTTATATGGTTTTGCCTCACTTGTTCTATGTTTCTATTTGCTCTTTCTTAATTTTTACTTAGATTCTATTTTTTTGTCCCCCAAAAGTATTACATAATGGTTACACATTCTTCTATTCTCTTAATGGTTACCTGAGAGTTGTGCTGCATACTTCAGTAGCCACTAGCCACATGGAGCTATTTAAAGTTCTAACACGTTACCTTATAACTTTAGTAATATTAATGATGATGATTACAACGACAATTTAAAACCCACAGTGCTTATTTAATCCTCACCACATAATCTGAGGTGAATATACATACTATTATATCTCAGTTTTATAGATATAGAAACTGAGATGCAGGGAGAGTAAATAAATTACCCTACAGTGACTGAATTTGTACACAGAGGCTATGCCTCAGGCATTTACACTTACATGATATTTTCCATGGATTTGGGTTTAATAAAAATGGAGATAGGGTAAAGCTGTGCAATCTGTAATCTCTTTATGGCATTTCCAGACACATCAAGGATACAGTGTTTGCCCTAAAATAAAAGGAACAAAGAAAAAAAAAACAAGTGAACCAAATATTCTCAATAATATCAAAGGTACATTTCCCACAGGCCCAGAGTCTAAATCGTGGTATGTCTGGATCCTTGTTCACTTTAAGCAAACTTGTCACTTCTCTCAGCAAACTTGATAGGAAATGAAATGATTATGCATAATTAATTTGCCATTTTCAAACAAATGTTATATTTAAAAAGGAATGAGAATACAGTTCCTAGTTTTCACAGATCAGTAATTTCTCAAAATGGTGAAAACCAGAGCTCCCCCACCCTTTTCTTTTTTTTAAATTTAAGAGACGGGGTCTCGTTCGGTTGTCTAGGCTGGTCTTGAACTCCTGGGGCTCAAGTGATCCTCTCACCGCAGCCTCCGGAAGTGCTGGGATTATAGGCATGAGCCACTGTGCCAGGCCCAGGTTCCTATTTTTCATTCTGCCAAGAAAAAGTATTCATAAAGACCCCAAACTACCATCTCCCCATAGCTATCATTTCATAAAAGATAAAAAATCCTAGAGTAAGGGCAAACCTTTTAAATAAACAAATGTGTGAAACCTCATTACCACTACTCAATCCTCCTATTTCTCATTTTACTAGGGACAGACAAAAACTCATAAACTAGCATATGGGACCCAATTCTGGATTTAAATGACAACTTTTCTGACAGGCTTAAACTCACTGACAAAGGATACTTAGGTTTTTAATACAGATGGGCATTTCCATGGTAAGCAGAGTAGTAGTTATTATTTATGACAGATTTGCTTCTAATACATTTGAAATCAGGCCCTCCCCCATAACGCAACTTCAGTTTTCTGTTTGTTTTTGAGACGAAGTCTTGTTCTGTCACCCAGACTTGAGTGCAGTGGCACGATCGCGGCTTATTCCAACTTCCGCTTCTTGGGTTCGAGCAATTCTCCTGCCTCAGCCTCTCCAGTAGCTGGGATAACAGGTGTGCGCCACCACACCCAGCTAATTTTTGTGTTTTTTGTACAGATGGGGTTTCACCATGTTGGTCAGGCTGGTCTCAAATTCGCGACCTCAAGTGATCCACCCACCTCGGCCTCCCAAAGTGCTCGGATTATAGGTGTGAGCCACCACACTTGGCCCCATAATGCAACTTCTAACCCAAGGACTTGAGTCCAAGTCAATACATGATAATTTCAATTTGGTGGGCACACTTAAAGTAACAAATTTAATACTGTAAAATACTCCAAACATACAGAAAAGTAAATAACAGACACTATGTATCCATTATCTACTTTTATCAGATATAAATATTTTACATTATCGCTTAAACATTTTAGTAACTTGATACTGAAATATTAATATTCTATGTTTGCTTTAGCTCTTTCTATATATGTACATAATAGTTTGAGAAAAAACTGCATAATGCTCCTTTACCTCGTATTTCTTAAAAACAATGGCATCTCTTATATAATCACAATATGATTCCAAGTGGCCATCTAATGTTCCTTATTGGAAAAGAAAAAAAAATTTCCTGGTCCAGGATCCAATTCAGGATCACAGGATCACACACTGTGTTTAGCTGTAAAGCCTCCTTAGTCTCCATCAATCTGACACAATTCCTCAGTCTTGGTCTTTCTTGATCTTGATGTTTTTGAAGAGTATAAAATATTATGTCATAGAATATGCCTCAACGTGGGTTTGTGTGTTTCCTCACTCTCGGATGGCAGGTTACACATTTTTGGCAGGAATACCACAGATATAATGTGTGTCCTTCTCAGTCCATCATATCTGGGAGGTGACATTATATCTATTTGTCCCACTGGTAGTGATGCTAATTTTGATCACTTGTTTAAGGTTTTATCTGCTAGGTTTCTCCACTGTAAAATTATTACTTTTGCCTTTGTAACTGATAAGTATTTTGGGGGAGGACACTTTGAGACTATATAGATATCCCATTTTTCATCAAATGTTCACTAATTTTAGAATACACTGATGATTTTTGCCTGAAACAATTATTACCATGCAGTTTTCAAAAGATTTTCTAATCATTTCTTCTACCTTGATTAGTAGACAGTCCAAAGTGTTCCCTTCTATCCACTTATTTACTCATATACAGATGCTCCTTGACTTATGATGGGAGTTACGTCCCAATAAACCCATCACAAGTTGAAAATACTATAAATTGAAAATGCGTTTAATATACCTACCCTACTGAACATCATAGCTTAGACTGGATTACCTTAAATGTGCTCAGAACACTTACTCTACAGTCAGACAAAATCATCCAACATACCTGTTTTATAATTAAGTGTTGAATTTTTCATGTAATTCATTGAGTCCTGTACTACAAGTGAAAACCAGAAAGGCTGTATGGGTACTTGAAGTATGGCTGCTACTGAATATGCATCACTTTTGCGCCTCTGTAAAGCTGAACCATTCTAAGTTGGGGGCCATCTGTGTTTATTTCATTCTGGAGTCTAGGATTTTAATTTTACTCTATATATTATAATCTGTGATTATCATTTATCTTGATATTCACATTATCTCAGACTTGGCCAGTGGCGGACCCCACAGCTTGGTTCCTTGCCTTTTTATACACCCTCATCACTCGTGGACTGCTCCCTTGTTTTTCTGGCAGCAAAAATGTTACAGGCTCATCTTGCACTTCTCCAGTCCTGGCCCCAGAATCAGCCATTTCTCTGAGGAGTCCTGGATCTTTCAATTAACGAATTATATTTAGAAGCCAAGACCTGGGCACCAGATATTCTCATGGCTTATTCAGGGTTATTTTTAGGTCTTCTTAGTGGATAGAGCAAATAAGCATACGTGTGTGTATATGTAAATACACATCTTTCTAGATCTACTCTATTACAATTCATAGGTTCATATTCATAGCTCTAATTATCTAGTATCTCCAATCCAATTATCAGAGTTCATGTTATCCTCTCCCTTTTTCTGACAGTCAAACCTCACTCCCACTACTGTCATTACATTAGTTTATTTGCTCAACCCTAGACTATATATTAGTTTCAGAACTGTAAGACCATACACTCCACCCAACAAACCTACTAATTAGAATTTTGTTTACAGATCTTTGTCTTCAGCTTGTGTTAAAGAATCTCTGGGATTAAGACTTCTCCCTTCTCCCCTCTTCAATGTAGTTATTCATTTGAAATGGTTGGACATCATATCCTAGGTACAAAGGCCATTTTTATATCTTATTTTTGTGTGAACTATGTATTCTCATCTTTCATCCATTTTTTTTCCCCTATTGGGTTTCTGGTCTCTATTCCCTGTTTTTATGAGTTCTTTATATATTGGGAATATTAGCCCTTTTCTTCTTGCAAATTTTTTCTGTCAGTTGTTTTCTGACATTGTTAATGGTGTTTTCTAATAGTTTTTGGAAAAGTTCTTTGGCCATAAAAAAAGTTTTTAAAAATTTTAAGTGGTTAGATTTATTATCTTTTTCTTTTCTTTTCTTTTTTTTTTTAAGAGCCAGGGTCTTGTTCTGTTGCCCAGGCTGGAGTTCAGTGGCATGATCATAGCTCGCTGCAGCCTCAAATTCCCAGCCTTAAGTGATCCTCTCAACTCAGCCTTCTTAGTAGCTAGGACTATAAGGGTGTGCTGCCATACCTGGCCCTTATCTCCTTATAATATATGCTGGAGGACTAGGGTTAAACAAAAGGTCTATCTCTAGCAAATGACCTTAAAATAACTTCTCCTCTTACATTCATGTTACCATTCCTATTTTCACTTTCTTTGTCTACCTTATTTACCTGTTTTATCTTGTATGCACTTTCCTGAGCCACCAAAAATTAATCATGTAGGTAAGCAAATTCATTACGTTAATAAAACTAATTAATGCTGTATCTATCCTACCACTCTTTCATACTGTCAAAGGCATATTTGACTAGAAGCTATATTCTGGGATTAGTCTGATGCTTACCTTTTCTGCTACTTCTCGCACAGACTGAACACTTGTTCCATACAGATGATTGTTATACTGGCCAGCTTCGATGAATTTATGTTCCTGGATATCTTTTTCCATCTGCTCTCTTGAAGTCACAAAATGATAATCTCTTCCGTCTACCTCATAATCTCGTTTTGGTCTAGTTGTATCTTTAACAGAAAAAAACTTGGGGAAGTGTTTAATATTAAAAAAAACCCCACAATAAATCCATTTTCTACTTATATCATTGTTTTGTAAAGTTCAACAGATTAATTTAAATCTGAGAAAGGACAACAATATGGAGGATGGAAGAGTAACTGATAAAATAGGTACAAACCGTTAAAAAATGGTTCTACCTATTCTTCCCACACACAGTGACAGGCATTGTTAAGAGTAACAATGAAATGTTTTTGTCTGGTTTACTCACGAGGGACACAGGATCCAAATTTGTCGGGAAATTCTGAGATCAAGTCGTCATTGATCCGGTCTTTCATGGGTCCCAGTATGATCACTGGCCGAGTGTAATTAACTATAAAGATAAACTGCACGTTAAAAGGAATAAACAGTCAACAAATATCAATGTATTTTATTTCACTACAGAACAAAAATATCCTTAACTGTTTTAAACATTTTTTTTCTTCTTTCTCCATCTCACTCTACCATCAACCAAAGATGCATAACTTGCTCTTTTATAATCTTGACTAAGATCTTAAACTCTACTCAGTCTTGTTAGAAGTCATATTGATAAATCAACCAAGTTAAATTTGGTATGTTAGCAGATAATGTTTCTTTACATTGCAAATCAAAGCATAAAGTGTAGTGTTTTACAGATGGCTCTGAAGTAGAAATTGTAAGGAAGCAGAGCAAAGAAGGGCAGAAAAGAAATTGGATGTGGGAAGTGATATAATCCCAGTAGTAGTGTTCTAAAAAGATGATCTAACAGAAGTATGAACTCTGGGTTGTATGGGGTCATGCTGGAAGAATGGAGATTGGTAGTGAGACTGAGAACTAACACTGTGAGAGAAGGGATGAAAAGAAGGTCATAAATAAGAAAGAAGTAGAATAAACAGTGCCCGGAACCTAACTGGATGAGGAGGAGGAGGAACGGAGAAGGCTCAAAGATGCTTCCAAGATTTTCAAAAAAGGGTTATTTGGAAGATAGTGATGCTAACAAGAACACTGGAACGAAGTTGCTTAGGAAATAAAACACAAATATAAAAGTCAATATGAAATGACTAGATTCTAATATACTGTGGAGTAACCTATGTTTCATAAACACATGTAGTAAGTTTCTGCATATAAATGTAGTAAAAAAAATTCTAATATAACATTTTTTGGGGGTATTAGACTTTTTTCCTCCAAATTAAAAAGTATATTCTTCTAGAAGATTATAAAACATCAATAGTCTTCACAAACCTTCTTGTTGGTTCACTGGTTCATAAGATAAGACGTATTCTTCTTGACCACCTATTAGAAAGTGAAGGCACAGATGAAAAATGTGTCCAGATAATTGATGCTCGTCTAATTCTTCAAGAACAATGTTAGACATTACTACAACTTTCCTGAGAAAACGGCAAAGGTATGGAAAGGTACTTTATGGCAAGATTTAGTTAAAAAAAAAAAAAAAAAAAAAGGGGGGGGAAATTATAAAGTCATAAAAGTGAGTTTGCTAAATGTAAAACAAAATACAAATGGGCTATTTAATCAATATTATATTTGATAGATAATCAAATCTAAAAATCTTCATTTGTGATGCTATGTTTATTTAGAATCTAAGAAATATTTACTTAGAATCTAAGAAATATTAAATCTGTTAAAGATTAATGCTTTAATGAGCAGTTTATATATCTATCTATCATCTATATACATATTAAGTAACTTGTTACTATTAAAAACATGCTACTTTTTTAGTTCCACCAACTATAATATTGAATACAGTATATTTTATTTTTAAAATAATTACATCGTAAAATTAAAAATTATAAATGCAAAGGTAAAACTACTGTTACTATTTCACTGATGAAAAAATTCACTAACTCAACTTTGTAAAAAATAATAAATTTAATGTGAGTCAAAAAGAGCTTTAGATAAAACTAAATCCTTCCAATAAAATAAACCACAGTGATAGTAAAGGAGATAAATATATTCGCTTTGACCTTAAAAGCACAAGAAGTTAAAGCTTCTAAAGGTTAAATCAAAGGTTCACAGCTTAGGAAATATTCTAAATGAAAGAGTCTACAAATTATACCTGAATTCAGTGTAAAGAAATAAAAAGAGTTAAAAACTCTAAGAGTTGTTTTTTTTTTTTTTTTGAGATGGAGTTTTGCTCTTGTTGCCAGGCTGGTGTGCAATGGTGCGATCTCAGTTCATGGCAACCTCCACCTCCCGGGTTCAAGCGGTTCTCCTGCCTCAGCCTCCCGAGTAGCTGGGATTACAGACATGCGCCACCGTGCCCAGCTAATTTTGTATTTTTAGTAGAGATGGGGTTTCTCTGTGTGAGGCTGGTCTTGAACTCCCAACCTCAGGTGATCTGCCTGCCTTGGCCTCCCAAAGTGCTGGGATTATAGGCATGAACCACCACGCCCGGCCAAAAACTCTAGTTTTAAAATAACACACACCCCCCTCACCCCACACCGAAAATTAGAAAAGACTATGTTAACTCAAGTGGTTCAATGAAAGCAATCAATATTGGATAATGTATTTGAAGATTTTCTCTTTAATTATCAAGATCCTATAACAATTTTACCAGGAATTTTGCGATTGGTTTATATTATATGTATGTAGCTGTAGGTCTTTTAAACCCATACATTGGCATAAACATTCTTTTCTGCTTTAAAAGTGTGTATTTATTTGTTTTCAATTTTATTATTAAAGTATATAAAACTGGTATTTTATAAGCTGTTTTTTAAAGTACTGGATGTAAAACATGGCTTACATACTAGCAAACACATGCAATTTGAATATTTCACACCTTAATAATTCATGCAAATGGTAAGACAGACAGTATATACTTTCATTACCTCTTTTTAGCCTAGAAAGCCACTCAACTACCCTATAGTGTGTTCTGGTTATAAGCAATAAAATGCTGAAATATAGGAAATCATTTCCACACCAAAAAAAAATCATTAAGTAACTACTATGTAGAAAAATAATCAACCAAATGAATGATGGTTAAAAGTATATACTGTCAACATGAAAAAGTATTAGGGACTGATATTAACAGGATGGACCTTTTGAGCAGCCATACTCATCTGTAATCAAGATTACTTTCATATTAGACAGCAGTAAAAAAAGAAAGTTAGAAAAGCAATTTTAATTTTTAAGGTGCTACAACTGATATTATGTACCCACCCCTTCTCCCATGCCCCAAGTCTGTTTAAAACATCACATGCTTGTGCAGTTCACTTAATAAAACCAAGAATATAAAACAGCAAAAGAGAAATTAGTATTATTTTTCGGGCAATCACTGAAAATATTCCCTTATTTCTTCTGTTCACCGAGTGCTGATGATAAACAATAACTTGACCCAGATCAGTACCGATGACAAAGAATAAAAAAGGAAATAAAGCTAATGATAATTTAGCATTACTGAAAAATACTGTTTTAGTGCTCATGTTAAAAACAGAATTATTAAACAGAATGTCAAAATACAAGTTTTCCCTCATTTAACTATTTGCTTCTTATAAAAAATACATATACATATGTATCATGTACACTAATAATACTAAACTGTTTTTAGTATTATATTAAAATTTTATAAATTAACCTCTACATATATAGTATGATTTTATTTTTCAAGTACAGAATTTTACTTGTCTCTCCCTGATTTTAAAATAAAGATCATATAACTGTAAGTTTTTAGAACGTATCACTAAGAATCCCTCCACCCCCGCAGAGGATGTATTACTCGAGATTACAAAAGAACAAGTAACTTAAGACACTTACGGTAACTACTTTCACTATCGCTGGCATTAGAAGTTACATGCTCTGAAATTGCAGGACAATGAAAAAAAGTAAAGAAAACAGTGTCATGAGTTTAAAAAGCAAATAATCAAAATAAAATGTTGCGATATAAGCCATACATAACAAAATAATTTTTTAAAAGCATTTTTTATTTTCTTTAAAAATATTATTTTTTTCAAATAATAAATATTAGCAAAGGAAAACACCTGTAATTAAGGACAATGTCTTATTTTTGTACAACACAGTTTCTGAACAAATCTATTATAAATAGCAACTAGAATATGTCAAAAGGGCAAAGTGATCCTGAATTAGTCCAAATGTAGACATAAAACCCAATGGAGAAAATAGTTGGCACTATTTCAGTTTTTGAAACGGCAGTAACTGGCAAAGGGGACAAACTATTTAAGCAGATAGATGCCCATTTTAATGAAGGGATGTCTTTGTAATTAAAAATAAAGAGATCATCTTATTTTCAGTCCAGCTTCACTCCTGTTTCTGAAGATGAAAATCCATGTTTCTGAGATCATACAGATAAAGGATTTTAGAAGTCATAAATTCAAATGTCTCGGCTGGAAGGGAATGCACCAATGGTGGCACTGCATTTTAAAACCAACTAATATTTCTTAGAAACTCTGCTTTGATAAGACTGACAGTGGCTGCTTTGCAAAACATAAAAAAGACAATGAAAACAAACACACCCAGCCAAAAACTGCCTGTCCCCTCCTTAAAGGTGACCCGTTTCACGACTTCATTGCTTAGTAAACCACAGGCACGCTCCTCATCCATGTAAATGTGATCTCAAGTATTCTCTCAATAAATATCCCCCTTGCATTAAACAAAGACTAATAGATTTATTTCTAAAAAATAAAAATAAAACTTTCAACGAGACAGGGAAACTGACATTTTTATTTTAACTTTTTTTTTTTTTAAATTAAAGGGACAGGGCCTCACTCTGTTGCTCAGGTAGGAGTGCAGTGGTATGACTATAGCTCACTGCAGCCTCCACCTCCTCTCCTGGGCTTCTGTGATCCTCCCATCTTAGCCCAGAGTGGCTGGGACTTCAGGTATGTACCACCATGCACTGCTAAAATTTTGTTTTTTTAATAAAAGAGACAAGTCTCAACCATGTTGCCCAGACTGGTCTCAAACTCCAGGCCTCAAGGGATCCTCCCATTTCAGCTTCCCAAAGTGCTGGGATTACAAGTGTGAACCACCACACCACATAGCTGGAAATTTCTTTTTTTCTTTTTTCTGAGACAGTCTCTTTTTTTGAGACAGTCTTCCTTTGTTGCCCAGGTTGGAGTGCAGTGGCACGATCTCAGCTCACTGCAACCTCTGCCTCCTAGGTTTAAGCAATTCAATTCTTGTGTCTCAGACACCTGAGTACCTGGCACTACAGGTGTATAGCACCACGCCCAGCTACTTGTTCTATTTTTAGTAGAGACTGGTTTCACCATGTTGGCCAGGCTGATACTGAACTCCTGAGATCAAGTGATCTGTCTGCCTTGGCCTCCCAAAGTGCTGAGATTACAGGCATGAGCCACTGCGCCTGGGTGGAAATAAAATTTTTAAGGTAAAAAAAAGTTTGAGGCTGGGCATGGTGGCACACGCCTGTAATCCCAGCACTTTGCGAAGGTGAGGCAGGAGGATCACTTAAGACCAGGAGTTCGAGATCAGCTTGGGTAACATGGAGAGACACTGTCTGGGGAAAAAAAAAAAAAAAAAAAAGTGCTGGGCTTGGTGGTGCATGTCTGTAATTCTAGCTCTTCAGGAGGTTAAGGTGGGAAGACCACTCAAGCCAAAGGGTTCCAGGCTGCAGTGAGCTATGAACATACCACCGCACTCCAGCGTGAGTGACAGTGTGAGATCCTGTCCCTAAGAAACAAAAACAAAAAAGAAAAAAGTTTGAAGATAAGTATCTGCTATACTATACCACTCACAGAGTCTCCTAAAATCAAGTATCACTATTAAAACGTACAGTGAATGGTTGAACTTAAGATTTCAAATTAAATAAGATTTTTGAACTGCTATCATAATGAAAAATAAGTCTGTTATTCTAACTTTCAAAGACAAGATATAACTTTCTTAATCATGATTACATACATTTTAAATAAAGCAAGGACTTTAAAAATTGCAAGAATTATTCACTAATATATGTAAGCACATGTAAAATGGTAGGTTTTTCTTTTTTTTTGAGATGGAGTCTTGCTCTGTTCCCCAGGCTGGAGTGCAGTGGCAAGATCTCGGCTCTCTACAACCTCCGCCTCCCGGGTTCAAGCTATTCTCCTGCCTCAGCCTCCTGAGTAGCTGGGATTACAGGTGTGCACCACCACACCCAAATTTTTGTATTTTTAGTAGAGACCGGGTTTCGCCATGTTGGTTAGGCTGGTCTTGAACTCCTGATCTCAGGAGATCCACCTGACTCGGCCTCCCAAAGTGCTGGGATTACAGGCTTGAGCCACCGCACCTGGTCAAATGGTAGGTTTTTTAAAAGCTTATGTTAAAATATTTCTTTCTATGTCACCACATGGGCTTGATAGCAATACTTTAAAATTGGTGTATAATATTCTATTAGATTGATAAATTATTTACCTTGCTATTTATTATTTAGATATTTTTATTTGCTTTAAACCGTTTTTCACAAGTATCAACAATTATGAATGTCTTCATTTATATATACCTTTTAACTTTTTGTCCTATTTCCTTAAATTTCATTCCCAGAAACACGCCATATTAAAAAAAAGAGTTATTCTGTTTATATTAGCATTGGTATCACCCTCTGCCATCTCTAGTTTGTAAACTAAAGAAAAATTAGTTATTGCAATGGGGTGAAGGGAGGGGAGTATAAGTGGGAGTACAGAAGAAACAGAATTGGTAAATTTTCAGTTGACAATTATGAAAGCTGGATAAACAAATACTTGCAGGGTTTATTTTTACTACTCTTCTACTATTGAATGTATCTGATATTTATATAATAAAAAGTTTAAGTTACCAAAATCTCTTCACTATCTGTTTTTTTTGGGATTTCTTCTACTCACCTTAAACCCTCTAAGACTGCCAAAAGCTATACAACAATCAAACTCTGCAAGTTCTTTCAAATATCATCCTACTTAGCTCTTCTACAATAAAACCTCACTACTCAAAGTATGGTCCTTGGAACAGCATCATCATCATTGTTTGGAATGTTACTAGAAAAATAAAATGTTTTTCTTCTGATAATTGAAAATGTTCCTTGTAAAAGCATTTTCCCAAAGAAGACAGTCAAATAACCAATAAACATACAGAAAAGTGTTCAAGTTAATTACTTGTCAGGGAAACGCAAATTAAAACCACAAAGGGTGTCTCTACCATCCACCAGAATGGCTAAAGTGAAAACACAAAACAGACACGTCAAGCATGGACAACGATATGCAGCAACGGGGGTTCATATACTAGGAACGGGCCAACTGGGAAAACTACTTGGGAAAACTGGCAATATCTACTAAGGCTGGACAAAAGTGTATCTATATGACCCAGCAATTCCTTTCCTAGCTATTTCCCCAACAGAAAGGCATATATATGCTTACCACAAGACATGCGTTAAGAATGTTCAAAGTAACACTATTTAAAATAGCTCCAAACATATGTTTATTTATAAGACTGAGACAATATGTGTAGTTTCATATTTTATTTTTTTCATATATAGTGAGCATTTCCCCATGTCATTATCTTTAAATATGATTTTTGATGGTTATGGAATATTACATAGTATGGATAAATCATACTGTATCAGGCACTTCCTAATTGTAAGGCATTTTGCCACGTTTTTAATTTTTTATTTTGCTGTTATTACTAAATAATATTATAATAAGCATTCTAATATATAAGGCTTTATCTCTATCTCTAATTACATCCTTAGGATAAATTCTTTGAAGAGTATTTAGTGGGTCAAAAGATGTGCTTTTCACAAAGGCTGTGCCGGTTTACACTCCTAATTGTGACACATTAAAAGCAGGCTTCAGCAGAACTCCCTTCGTCACAGGTTTTCCTTTTAAACAAAAGTCTGCAAAGTGACGGGTGAAACATCATTTTGCTTATCACTACTAGGAATTAAACATTTTTCATATGCTTATTTCATCTGCTCATCTTTTGAGCACTCTTGTCCAGCTTTCTAATGGAGAGTTAGCTTGTTTCTTATTACCTGTTAAATAGTGTAAAGGTATTATCCCTGTGGCATACATGATACAAACACATTCTTCAAGTTTTTATTTTTATTTTGTTTTTGATAGCTTTTTTTTTTTTTTTTTAAAAAAGATGGAGTCTTGCTACGTCACCCAGGCTGGAGAGCAGTGGCGTGATCTCGGCTCACTGCAACCTTCACCTCCCAGCTTCAAGTGATTCTCCTGCCTCAGCCTCCTGAGTAGCTTGGATTACAGGTGTGCACCACCATGCCTGGCTAATTTTTGTACTTTTAGTAGAGACGGGGTTTTGCCATGTTGGCCAGGCTGGTCTCGAATTCCTGACCTCAGGTGATCTGCTGGCCTCAGCCTCCCAAAGTGCTGGGATTACAGGCATGAGTCACCGTGCCCAGACTGATTATGATGTTTGATGAACAGATCTAGTTCAAATCTCTCTAACCGAGTTTTATCATTGTACTCAAACGTTTCTTCCTGAAAGAGTATATCATGTTTCTCTTCTGGCTCTCCTCTAATACTACATCATCAATCTGAAGCAATGATACCACTCTCACATCCTATTCGTAATGCAAATGAAGATAAGTCTATTTTTGGCATTTACAAGCTCTGCACAACTATGTGTACGTCTTTAAAATGAGAAGAAAGAAAAGACATATGTAGCAGGAAACCTATGTGCCTGAGGAAATTTTTGAGGTGTTGTACAAAATGGAAAGTTGTAAAAATGGAAAGGCTACATGTAATAAGAACAAACCTTGTCTCAAATCTTACGTCATAATTTTACTTCTGAGTACCTTATGTATCTTTTATCGAGTTATGTTTCCTTTCAGTCTCTGTTAAAGGAATCTTACCTAGTTTTAGTCCCCTGAGCTTTTTCAAAGTTACCTCCTTTAAAGCATAAAAGCTGCACAGGCTTTTATTTCTAGCTTTTCACAAATGATGATTTAGTTGCATTCTCCCAAACTTCCATCGTACTCTCATTAGTTCTGTTTAGCAAAATTAGGTTTGATAAAACAATTTCTCTGTTTTTGCTACTGTCAACAGGGCAAATAAATAATTTACCTGACTCTCTTCTTCTCAGAATCAAGAACAAATGAATTCATGTCTATACAAAGCATTCTATGGTATCACTTCTGTTTCTCTGCTCTTCAATTAAATACCCCATTTTTCATAGGTTGTATGAATTTACAGCAGATATACATTTTTTTCTTGATATTCTAGTGTTATTCTGTGTCTCTTCAATAGGTGGGGTTCCCTGGAGTAACTTAACCTCTGCTTGGGGTTCTTTGAGTTTTGTTCCAGTAAGGCCTGATGACTACCTATATTAAGTTGCATTTATTTTCTTATATTAAAGTCTCTCAAGATTTTGCTTAGTTTATGCCCTATATTCTTAACTTTAGAATATAAGCAACTGAGGCCTCACGTAATGTCCTTGAACACATCCTTCTTCCCAGTATTTACTACTATATAATCATGGGCACCTTGTCAACTGCCTTATGTCATCTATTTTATGTGATAACCTCCATCATATCCAGTTCTAGAATTTTACTGATATTTTTCTGTCTTCTCCAACATTTTCTGAATAAAATCTTGATCTGATGATCAAGTTACCAGGTGAATAAATTCTTTTAATTCCTGTGAGATGAAGCACAGAAATCTATTATTCAAGGGATCTTAGGTCACTCTCCAGAAAATAAAATATTTTTCTGAATAATGTTGTCTGATAATCAGTTACTATTTTTCATATTATTTCTCTTTCAAAGTCCCAATCTTCAATTAGAACCAGAGATATAGGGTCAAGGTATAATTATCATGTATTGTAACATCAATATGGGAACCAAATTCTTCATTTAGTTTCTTTTTCTAAGAGTTTCCTATGTCTCTGTTCACTTAACAGATAAGAAAAATCTATGGGTCCATTTGTTGATCCATACCACCTCTAAAGTATGTTATCAATCTCAAAATAAATTCTATTGCATACATAAACTGTGGTAGTATCTTCCAGTTTTAGAGGTTTTCATTGATAATTTTCCCCAAACATAAGAGATTAAACAATGCGTGCCACTACTGATAGGAAATCTGTGGTCCTTACTAAATCCTATAAAGGCACCTGCAGAAATAACAAAGTGTGTCTAACAGAAAGAGTTGTACATAAACACACTGTCCTCAATCTAATACAAACTTAAATCACTACGGTTGAAATAAAAGTACCTACAGTTTAGATTAAAATTCCAGTATAAACTTAGCATAAATCAGAAAAATGCCTCATGTAAAATTTAATGCTTATTAATGTAGGTCTTAGAAAGTTAGAAGATATTGGCTATACGTTTAATGATCAATGAGTTAACAAAGAAGTTTCAAAATGTTTAATAATCTAAACAGAAAGAACCATTTAGAAAACATGAGATTAAAAGATTACTTCTATGAGTCACTGTAACCTCAAGTTACTCAGTAATGTTTGGTAAATTTTCATAGTTAAGCAATTTGAAAACACGTGCAAATTAAAAATTTTATTTGCTAAAATGGCTTCTTGCTTCATTCATTCATTCCAACATGTATTGAATGACTTCTACATACTAGAACCTGTGTGAAGCTTTACATGAAGATTAAGTAACTAGCTAGAAAATTAAACAAGAACAGCAGCAACAAAAATCAAAAACAAAGGCAACATCTTAGCTAAAGGAAAAACAAAATAGTTCTTATACTCCGGTGGTAACTTACAACTTTCTCAAAAAAAAAAAAGAGATACACAACTTATCCCCTCAATAAACTGCTACTTGCATAGTATTCTATTGTGTTTTATGTTTTTATATTATAGCAATGCTTTTCTAACACATAATCAAAATAATTTTAGATTATTTTAACAGAAAAAAAGGGGGAACATAAAACTCCAAGGAAGCATATTTCTACATTCTAATAATGAGGGTACACTTAACAAAATCTTAAAAATTTTTATATTTTAAAAGTTCCTAGCAAAAGTAACTGTCATAAAAATTACAAAAAGGAAAATATAGTTATGAGCATTTTTCAAATGACATGTGAAAAACAAAAATAAAAACAAAAATTATGTATTACAGAAATAAAAGTCCCAAGCATGTGATAAACATGCAAATTCTAAAAGCAATCTAAATCATACACCTCCTTATGCCAGAAAGGCACTACCATGAATCTCCAAACGTATCTGAATAAGGTAGGTCTGTAGATGGAGGTTAAAAAATAACTTGGGAGTATTTTGATCACTTACTCAGGCCTTTTGATCCCATGTCGTCAGGGATCTCCTGTAGAGGGTAGTCCCCAGAGAGCAAGCAATAAAAAGATAATCAAAGAAAATAGTTGTCAGTAATGCATGAAATTGGTGCTACAGTAGGAGACAGTTCCAAGACCATTACAGGTACATCTATCTTACAGAGCATTTTTACAGATTTCTAGAACTTTGAAATGAGCTAGCTGCTAACTGTAATCTACCAAAAGAATGAAAGTTCTAGCAGGAAGGCTGATTCAGGGCGAGAAGCAAAATTTTAGACCATTTCTTGCTATTTTAAAAGTAAAATCCAGATGGTCTACATATAATGAAGAAATAGGATAAAATGGAATGATTCCAGAGAATCCAGTATCAAAGACTCGCAATGTTATACCTAGAAATCAACAGGTAGCTTCTCATGTATTCATGTTCCACCTCTAAAATATTCTTTGAATGTATGAATGTGAAGTGTTTTTCATAAAAATCTTTCCTTCAAATAATTGCATTGATTTGTACATATTTATATGTTCAAATTATAAACATATAACTGGAAAATAATGTTTGCTTTAAATTAAGAATTCCTAAGGTACCAGAAAAAGTTAAGATAGGCATACAAATTAATTTATATCTGTTAAGTTGCCCTTGAAGACAATTAGCAACCTGCTGCAGCTCTTGAAACTGTCTCCATGGTAACAACCAACTGCAGGGCAGTAGGTCCCTCTCCATTTTATTTTCAGTTGACCACTGGATCCACATACTTACGGTCAGCATCACTTGTTTCCTGCTCACTCTGGTCCTTGTTCTTGTAGAAGGGGAATTTTCGGGAAAAGAGGTTCTTTTTACGCTTGTCATTGAATGACTGCTGAAGAAGAGAAGGAGGGGCAAAACAAAGGGATGTCTACTGTCTGTGTGTACAAAGGCCCAGCCTAGCAGCTCTGTGGAAGCTGACTCCTATGACCACAGTGTGCAGTTTGTATATGATTTTTACTTTAATCTCATGTAAAGTGAATTTCTACTTTTGAATAAATTCTAACATTTTGCAACTGAAAATACTTAAGAATTTCAAAGAGCGTAGTTCATTTATACCTAAAAATAAAAATGCTACTTGACAAAAAAAGGCAAATCAGTTACTACTACAGTACAAACGAAGCTAACATTTGTTTATACTAATCTACATTTTTCCAGAAAAATTTCCAAGTATTATGTGCTCTACAGCAAAAGATATTTAATGCTACTTTGCTGCTCAATTACGTTTTATTCATTAGGAAGTAATCTTCGTTTTATTTTGGCCTGACCATAGTTATTCCTTTATCTCTTTTTTTTGGCTATGATGAGCTAACAGAAAAGTCATTGTTTAAAAAGTAAACCAAAATGATTATGAGAAAGTTGCTAATGCTGAATATTTAAAAACAAACAATTTTTTTTTTTTTTTTGGAAGAGGATAAAAGGTAACTAAATGCTTATGAGCCAGAAAATGGGAAGAAAACTAAAAGGCCCATCAAGCACAGAGTCCAGCAAGAGATTTATCAATGCCATCTCTAGCCAAGCAAGAAGAGTCAGAAGTCTCCTGACCAACGTGAATGCTATCAGTACTGACTTATTTATTCTTAAGTTCTACCCTACTTATTTAAAAAAGTATACATAAATAACATAGAACCACATCCAATCATTGGCACCATGTCCTTCACAGGGAATAAAAAGTCTGGTGTCCACCAAAGCCACAAGGCAATTAAGATTCTAACAGTTTATATGTAATTGTAATGTGGGAGTTGAGCAGTTGATCTGATGTCTCTTATTGCACACATGTTGGAAATAAGTTTTTCCTTGAATATCCCATTTGTACATTCATATATTTAAGAGTATGTGGCACAAGAATGATGAGGCTATCAAAGAGAAATGGCTTCGTTTGTTATTTCTCTGTCATAGGCGTTCATGTTTGGAAGGAAACAGGTTTACCTACCAGTGACACTAAGAATTATTAGTTTTTGGAGGGGGAAGAGAAAAATATAAAGAATAGAATTTTTTTGTTCTGATCTTTATGAGTTTATACACATTTTAAGATGCTGCATTTTTCATTATTTTGAAGCGTATTGACATGAACAGCGTGTTTTTAGCATGTCCTTATTTTACGCATGCGATGCCAGGTGATTAGGGTGAAGTAGCCAGGTGCGGTGGCTCACATCTGTAATCCCAGCACTTTAGTAGGCCAAGGCAGGAGGATTGCTTGAGGCCAGGAGTTCAAAACCAGCCTAGGCAACATGGCGAAATCCCATCTCAACAACAACAAAAAAATTAGCTGGGAGTGGGGGTGTGCGACTGTAGTCTCAGCTACTTAGAAGACTGAGGCAGGAGGATCGCTTGAACCCAGGAGTTTGAGGCTACAATGAGCTATGATCACACCATTGCATTCCAACCTGGGTGACAGAGTGAGAACTTTTCTTTAAATTAAAAAAAAAAAAAGTGAAGTGGATTAAAGTGACTTTTAGCTCAAATTCTATGACTTGAGAAGACTTATTCTGATAAAGATCTTTATAAAAACAAGGTTAAACTTTTATTTTTACCTTTTCATATAATTAATTCAGGATTAATAAGTTCACAGTTCATTAGCCAAGCAGACTGTCTTGAAATCAATCTTAAAGTTTGAAGGCTCTGAGGAACTAGATAAAAAAGAACTCTAAGTAGAAGTTAAAAATTCAATCAACAGAAAAAGTATTGTGGGGAAATCTGGGCTTGTAACTATTTTATAAACTGTCAAGTAGCATTATTTGAATAAAAATCTTTGTTCAAATCCAAATTTTAGAAAGGAGAAAGAGGAGAAAGTGTTTTAGCAGAAAAAATTATGGTAATCTAATTTAGGGAAAAACTAAATCTTTTCGTTCATAAGACTCAATGGTTTTGAATTTAGCAATAATTTTTATATCTGATACAACTGATGTGTTTTTTATAAAAGTGTATTCATCCCTCTTACTGCATCTATAGTGGTCAGAGTCAGTTTCACAGCAAACAACCAAAAGAAACATGAAGTTTAAAATGTCTGATTCTTCTTATCTTTGCAGTTAGCCAAAATGAGATATCATAAAGATATCATAATATAGGACAGAGAGAAATGCTTGTTAGTTAAGAAATGTATTAATTGTATCACATTTAATATCCTCCTGGTGAAGAACTTATTAAAGGTGAAAAAAATAGCATAAGCAACCAAGACAAAAATGTGTGGGGAAAACACAAAACTGAAGACTTGCTACCTCCAGTTTCTCTGTATTTTCAATCAAAAGTACTACATTTAATACTTACTGCCATTAACGCTATATTGTAAGAGAGACAGTGTAATATAAGAATTGATAAAATATCATAAATTCATGATGCATATATTAAATATCTACATACATAATTTCCACATGTAGTATTTCAAAATAGCCAAATGAATGTTAGACATGTTAGTGAGAAACTAAAATGTTGTAAGTCTGTAGTAAAAATAAAGTCCATAATCACTAGAACTATGTAAGGAAAGGAGGAGGAGGAGGAGGAGGAAATGGTATTATAGAAAGAAATGCAGTTCTGATCAATGGCAAGCGTATTTTTACCCCACTCAGTATCATGCATAGCTTTGGTGCTGTGTTAGAACACAGTGACTCTGTATAAAGTTGGTTACAGTCAACAAACAAGACTAAGATTTAAACACGTCGTTAATTCAGTTAACTTCTTACAGTATGAAAGAAAAGTTACAACATGCAACCTTTTTCAATTTATTGATGGTATATTGTACTAAATCATTTTTAAAGATATACATAAAACAAGCGCAAAAAAATTCACATTTTTCAAATCCTGAGCATTTACCTGGGATTTTTCCTCTAATACAAATTTCTATTTTAATATTACTTCAGGTCACACTATATAATTTGGTATTTTTCTGAAAGCTACAAGTAAATTTTAAAGGAATTTACCATTTCTAAAAAACTGAATGTAACATACAATTTTCTCAGATTTAACTTCTTGAACCAAAGACATTTCTCATCTTTTAAATTTTAAAGCTTTAAGACTGAGTGCTTAGTGATACCAGAGATGTTCAGAGAGTAAATTTATTTGCTAAGTTAACATTCCACATTCATTTCAAATATTATCAAAATTTTTATTAAAAAATTTTGTTTAGCATTTAAAAAAAAACCCCAAACATAAAACGTTGCTATAAATGGTATTTACAGAACATGTATTCAGTTTGGTCTCCAGGCTTACTGCTGGAATATTCCACTGCAGTGAGTTCAGGATTATTAACAATTACATCCACAATATGGGATGAAGCCTGTACCATCTTTCTCATCTACTGACAGCCCAAATATTTAGATGCAAGCAGGACTTAAAGTGAAGGAAAAATAAATACACTTCTAAAATACATTATGAGAGAAGTGATATATTTCTTTCCTTTTTTTTTTTTTTGAGACAGGGTCTCACTGTGTCACCCAGGCTGGAGAGCAGTGGCATGATCATGGCTCACTACAGCCTGGACGTCCTGGGCTTAAGCAATCCTCCCACTTCAGCCACGGGAGCAGCTGGGACTACAGGTACAAGCCTTCACGCCTGGCTAATTTTTTACATTATTTTTTCTCAGAGATTGGGTCTCGCTATGTTGTCCAGGCTGGTACCGAACTCCTGGGCTCAAGTGATCCTCCCACCCTGGACTCCTAAAGTACTGGGTTACACGAGTAAGCCGCCATGCCTAGCCTCGATATATTTTTTTTTCTTTTTTTTTTTTTGACAGGATCTCCCTCTGCTGCCCAGGCTGGAGTGCAGAGGTGCAATTATGGCTCACTGCAGCTTTGACCTCTGGTGCTCAAGCAATTATCTTGCCTCAGCCTCCCAAATAGCTGTGACTACAGGCATATGCCACCAAGCCTGGCTAATGGATTTTTTCTTGATCATCTACAAACTTCTCCTCATGACTAGCACTTTGTTTCTGCCAAATAAAATTTCATATTGATTCCAACATTTAAAACACAGATTCTCTTAAGAAATTAAAGCAGGAATAATGTGGGGAAAGAACAAAAAAATTTCCAAAAATTTGCTTGCAACAACTTGTAAACTTAAGATTATGACTTAGCATTTCTGAAATGCCTATTTTCTTAGCAGGGTCATTATTAAATTATCTGCCATGATTAACACTAGTAACACAAATTTCTTTTTCTTTTTTGAGACAGAGTCTCACTCTGTCGCCCAGGCTAGAGCGCAGTGGTGCGATCTTGGCTCAATGCAAGCTCTGCCTCCCGGGTTCAAGTGATTCTTGTGACTCAGCCTCCAGAGTAGCTGGGATTACAGATGCTCGCCACCACGCCCCGCTAATTTTTGTATTTTTGGCTTTGCCATGTTGGCCAGGTTGGTCTCTAACTCCTAACCTCAGGTGATCTGCCTGACTTGGCCTCCCAAAGTGCTGGGATTACAGGCGTGAGCCACCATGCCCGGCCTAGTAACACAAATTTCTTTTTTTTTTTTTTTTGAGACGGAGTCTCGCTCTGTCGCCCAGGCTGGAGTGCAGTGGCGCGATCTCAGCTCACTGCAAGCTTCGCCTCCCAGGTTTATGCCGTTTTCCTGCCTCAGCCTCCCGAGTAGCTGGGACTACAGGCGCCCGCCACCTCGCCCAGCTAGTTTTTTGTATTTTTTTAGTAGAGACGGGGTTTCACCGTGTTAGCCAGGATGGTCTCGATCTCCTGACCTTGTGATCCGCCCGTCTCGGCCTCCCAAAGTGCTGGGATTACAGGCTTGAGCCACCGCGCCCGGCCGCAAATTTCTAATTGGAAGTTGAAAGAAGGTAAAATACATTTCATTTATAAAAATAAGCTTGACCAAAAGTATGTCGTTAATAATATACTGAATGATAGTTTTGATAATTTGGAAGGGTCTGTGAAATGGTTGCTTTAATTTAACAAATGCTTACTTAAGTATCTACTATTGTAAAGCACCATGGCAAGAACTGATCATGATTGATTCCTATAGCAAAATCCTTTTTATTTTAACAATGTAGCTCAAACAGGAATTATCAAAATGTAGAGATTTCAAATACTCACCCCTTTATCTCTCGTTTTAGAATTGAATTTCACTGTTTTTAATCGGGCTCGTTCTTTCTTCTCAACTCTGTCAAAGTACAGAATGTTATTTTTTTTAAGTAAAACAAACACATCTAAGGGTCTTACTAGAAATAACCAGAATTGATATCTTTAAAATGGGCATTTTTATATTGTAAAACCTTTAGGAGCCATCTAGGTTTGCATCCTCAAATTAGAATTGCTGAAAAATGAAACAAAGGGCTCATTTTATTATGAAACAAAACCTGATGCTATGACCTATCAATACATAGTACATAGGTGTAGGAGTATCAATACACAGTACAGACATGTATACTTTTATACATATACTCAGTTACAAAATTATATGAAAGTATGCGGCACCATTTCTGAGTTTAACAATTTTCCAAGTTTTGTTTACTTTTAAGTATTAGCTTAGCATGAAGCACATATGCTAAAAATTAAGCTTGAGAAAGAGAAAGCAAATGTGGCAAAACGTTAAAAATTGGTGACAGTGGGACAAGGATATGTGGATGTTCATTGTATATTGCCTTTTTTTGTACTCACTTTTCTATAGCTCTGAAACTTTTAATAATAAAAAAGTGGGATATTTAAAAATTAAGCTTAATTCTAATGATACGTGTGTGTGTGTGTGTGTGTGTATGTAAATATATAAATAACCAGTCACAGTTATTAAAGTAAGAGTTTTAAAGTACTTTTGGAAAGATACATAAGAACTGTTAAATCTTTACCCCATGGAGGTGAAATGGGTGTTGTGAGAGAGAGCCTATAAAGCTTTCACATCTTTTAAATTCTGAACTTTACCTATTGAAAATAAGCAAGCAAATAAAACTACAATGAGACAAATTTTTATGTAGATTGTAACACTAATGTAAATCTTATACAATTTCATGTAAATTAAGCTTTCATAAATTTTCCAATTTCAACACAGCAATTATGTTAGTGTATAACAGAAAAGCCTACCAAAACAAGCCTATGAATAAATGTATTTTATTTTTTCCTTATTATCTCTCTATTTAGTTTTACTATGGGTACAGCAGGACCTTAGCATTCATGAATTTAAGTTGTAAATTTAAGTCCAGGAGTGGTGGCTCATGCCTGCAATCGCAGCACTTTGGGAGGCTGAGGCGGGCAGATCACAAGGTGAGGAGTTCAAGACCAGCCTGGCCAACATGGTGAAACCCTGTCTCTACTAAAAATACAAAAATTAGCCAGGCATGTGGTGCGTGTCTGTAATCCCAGCTACTTGGGAGGCTGAGGCAGGAGGATCAGTTGAATCCAGGAAGTGGAGGTTGCAGTGAGCCAAGATTGCGCCACTGCACTCTAGCCTGGGCGACACAGCAAGACTCCGTCCCCACCACAAACAAAAAAAATTAAAGCTCATGATTTTTACTATTCAAGAATAATTCTGAGGCTACATGACCTGAATAATTTATAATCTTGCCTAAGTACTTATTAACAGCACCACAAAACTAGCATTTAGCAGGTGAGTATTTACAACTCAACTTGATTTTCTAATCATTATCTTCTTTAGTACACAGCTCAGCAACTTAAATTGTCTATATTTGTAAATATTATTCCTGAAAGAAAGCCAAGAATTGTAGGAATTACAATTCCTATGTTATTTTAGAAGAGGTCTAAGAAAGACACAGTTCTATTTAAGAAAAGGTAAGTTTTGAATACATTCAAGAACCAAATGGCATAATTAGTTGTGGTTTCTTACTGTATTTCACGGGAGTAAGATTATATTCTGCAATGCTACTCATGAATTTGGAAATTGGCAGAGGTCTCAAGACATCTTTCTTACATTATTTCTTGCTTTAAAACACAGTCTCACAGAATTTTTGTACAAACTGAAAACAAAAGTCTCTCAATGAAGCCAACAGTGTTTATTATTGGGTGCAGGCACAGAAAGCCTTTGCAAGGTACGAGACTCCAAGAACTAAGACAATTTTTAGGATCTCTGACCTTGATATTTAAGATGTAAGATTTCTACTGACTCAACAAGGCATAGAGGAAGCATTTCCGAATTTAAAGCAGACTATGTTCTATTTCTGGAAAAAAGTTATGCTGATTGCTGCACTGCTAAAAGAGGATTTGCCATCAACTGTAAGATCTAGCCAAATAGTTGGATCATGCTAAATATATGGATATAGCCACAGCAGTTATAAGCCCCAAAATCATAATTATAAATCTTGATTATAATTTAATACTACTACTTTTAAACTTCTACAAACAGGTAAATTAGTATTTAATAAGGTCTAGAAATAGTTACAAAATATGTATAAATCTGACTAATTAATAAGAAAAGAGTAAGTTTATTACAGCATAATCTTGACTTAAAATGAATTAACTAGTTATAACAAACATTTCTTTATTATCTCTAACTATTTTTGCTGGCTATCTTACTACTTTAAAAAGCTCCTAAAGAACTTCTAGGCCGGGTGCGGTGGCTCAAGCCTGTAATCCCAGCACTTTGGGAGGCCGAGACGGGCGGATCACGAGGTCAGGAGATTGAGACCATCCTGACTTAAAATGAATTAACTAGTTATAACAAACA